ATCCAACTCAACATCCAAATCTAAGTACTGGCTCTGGCATCAAAGCCTTCAGTTCTGAGAGCCAGAGGCTCTGGTGATTTAGGTTATATACACAAGGAAATATGTCAATCAAATTCCAGCAGAGGTGCCTGGGTTGAGTGCATTACTGGAAGAATCACATGAGAACTAGTCACATTCTCCTGAGTATCTACTATAATGTTTTCTAAATTCCAATGTCATATTCAATCATCACTCAGTTTGCTTTGTCATGTTTATCTGAGCTATGAAGCAGTCAGCACAGAACATAAATACTACAGAACAGCTAGAAGTCATTATGGACACAATCTGGACAAACATCTTGTGAGAACAACAGTGTTGTCAATACTTGAAAAGCATTCTTTTTGTATTTTTCAAGAATAAATACCCCTGCTTCCTTAAATTTGCTAAGCAGTGGCACTGAAATTCTGAGCTGTACCTGATCTACAATATTTGAAATTTCTGACACTCACTTTTGCATCTTACCCCTCTCTTTGCAAAATGAGTTGTCTCACTCAAGGGTTGAGATTTACCACAAAGCAGTCTATTATCAAATAGCTCCCAGTTTGACATTTATCGTATCTTTGACTTGTTTTGATCCAACATCAGAAGTTTAGCCAGATTGAAAGGCTTTGTAGGTTCAGATATCAACAGTCAAGTACATCATTTAGACACATGAACAAAAGTATCAATAAATGTACTTTGGAATTATTATCTTCTCCAAGGTCATATAATTCCCTTTCTATTGATATGAAGTAGTATCATAATATTCTAAGATTCTCCAGAATCATTTCCTGTCTGCCCCAAATGCAATTATCTATGAGGGATACTGCTTTGACATATAGGATATATGCACAATTTATACATGTAAAGAACCTACAAGCTACATGAGTATATTCACCTATGATCAAAAAAATGAAATGTTTTCTTTTCTGATTGTGTTAAGTGTATTTTTTGGGCTAGTTATATATTTTGATGATCACCAATTACATATTTATTTCAAGTTCTGAGCCATAACATTGAGTTGGACAATTTAAAATCATTAGCAAGGCTACCGTCTTATCCATAATCTAATAATATTTTCATTAGTGCATAGAAATAACCCTGCAGTCACAAATCATAGTTCTAGTAAAGATACTTCTAATATAACTACTTTGAGAAGTCATAGACATTATTTTAGAATAAAGAAATTCATCCCAACATCTCTGTAAAAAAGCATTCCCAGATAACAAATAAGCTACTTAAATCATGTATACTTAACTTTAGAGATTAAATAAAAACAATTGTTCTCAATATAATTATAAGTAGGTACTGACAACAGTCCAGATGTGCAATTGCTAACTATAACATTTTGCTGCTGCTGAGTTATAAATGCACAGGCATCAAGAGATTCATTTTAAAATAAAAGAGTGCTACTCACTGCTGGTATCCAAGCAGAATGAAGTGTTTGTTCTGCTGGAATAAGAAAGGTGGTGACAGACAAGAGTTGGAACTGTCTATATGAACTCTACCTATTTCCTGCTTTGACACAATCTGGTTGTGCAAACACATCTTGGTTAACAAGGTATGATACAAGATCTGTCATGGCAGATTTTTATAGCTGGTCATCTAACTGAAATTTCGACATCATATGGGGACTCTGTATATGGCTATCAGAAACAAATTATTAGAGAATTTTACTAGCTCTTTAGTACTCATCTAGTGTTATAAGGTATCTATATATTTGTCAGTAGACGCCCCTAACCAACTCATTTTCATCTTATCAGAGCTGTATTTCT